CCGCTCAGCTCCTCCTCTGTCCCCTTCCCTCTCCTCCTCAGAGCTGGCCAAGGCTCACCCGGAGCTCGGGGCCCTCGCAAGACCTCCCAGACTTCTTCCCTCCCACCTTGATCTCCACTTGATGCCGCTGCTCCGCCTCCCCCATCTCGCGGTCCTTGTTCAGCAGCTCTGCTTTCTTCTCCTCCAGCTGCCCGCGGGTGATCTCCCAGAAGGTGTGAATCTTGTCACGCTCCAACTGGAAATAGTTGCGCTCTTCCCGTTCCCGGTCCAGCTCCTCCCGAAGACGCATAACGTGATTCTCCAGCTGTAAAGCCAAGGGCAAGAGCCAGGTAGGGGGAAGAGGAGGCCTCGGACAGACGCCTCGGCAAGACAGCTGTGGCAAGCTGCGTTGCAGGACACAGTGGCCGTTCATGCGGTGGAGACGTGCAGGAGAGAAGGGGAGAAGCCCTGACCCATGGACATTGCGCAGGACCTGACAGAACCCACCAGCCTCTGGAAAAGGAGTAACAAAAACTTTATCCTACTGTAAGCAGTCTGAACTCAGATATTTTGTCACGCAGTTCCCAGTAACACCATATTCAGGTGCCTAAATACCATCGAATCACAGAATCATGAAGGTTGGAAAAGACCCCTCAGATCATCATGTCCAACCATCACCCCAACCCCACCAGGCCTGCTAAATCATGTCCCCAAGTGCCACGTCTGCACGTTTTTTGAACCCCTCCAGGGACGGGGACTCCCCCACTGCCCTGGGCAGCCTGGTCCAATGCCTGACCACTCTTGCAGGAAAGACATTTTTCCTAATATCCAGTCTAAACCTCCCCTGACACAACTTGAGGCCACTTCCTTTCATCCTACCGCTGGTTACCTGGGAGAAGAGACCAATATCCACCTCACTGCACCCTTCTTTCAGGCAGTTGTAGAGAGCGAGAAGGTCTCCACTGAATCATAGAATCATTTAGGTTGGAAAAGACCCTTAAGATCATCGAGTCCAACTGTCAACCTATCATCACCATGCCTACTAAGCCATGTCCTGAAGTGCCATATCTACACGTTTTTTGTATGGGGATGGTGACGCAACCATTTCCCTGGGCAGCCTCTTCCAATGTTGACAACCCTTTTAGTGAAGAAATTTTCCCTAATATCCAATCTAAACCTCTCCTGGCGCAACTTGAGGCCATTTCCTCTCATCCTATCACTTGTTTCTTGGGAGAAGAGACCAACCCTCACCTCACTGCGCCCTCCTTTCAGGTAGTTGTAGAGAGCGATAAGGTCTCCCCTCAGCCTCCTTTTCTCCAGGCTAAACAGCCCCAGCTCCCTCAGCCATTTCCTCATCAGACTTGTGCTCCAGACCCTCCATGAGCTTGAATGCCTTTCTCTGGACGCGCTCCAGCACCTCAACGTCCTTCTTGTAGTGAGGGGCCCAAAACTGAACACAGCACTCGAGGTGCAGCCTCACCAGTGGCGAGTACAGGGGCACAATCCCCTCCCTGCTCCTGCTGGCCACACCATTCCTCATCCAAGCCAGGATGCCATTGGCCTGCTTGGCCACCTGGGCATACCACTTGCACTGAGATGTGCAAGATCTTACCCCAGGAGCGAGGTCCGCAGGCCAGAGCCATCCCCTCCTCTGTTTGTAGGACACCCATCAAAACAAGCAGGACTTGGAGAAAACGAGGTGCAGCGCCTGTATCTTACACCCGGGCCTGCTGTGCCCGCGCCCATGAGAGCCTCCTGCCCCAGCAGCAATGCAGCTGGTAGCACTGCAGGCTGCAATCACAGAGCTGCTCCAGGCCAAGCCATCACCCGGCTGAGCGGGACGCCAGGGTTACAGAGTTGGGCAGAAGACAGCGAGGGCACAGGGCTGGAGAGCAGTTGGGCAGAAGACAGCGAGGGCACAGGGCTGGAGAGCAGAGCACCCCAGACCAGCGGAAGGGGGGGGTGGGATGAGAGGGCTGCTGCTTCCAGGAACGAGAACCCCCCGACACAGAGAGCCCAGACAGGCGTCAGGCAGTGAAATGAACCCCAGCCGCTCATCTTTGTCACCCTCTGCCACCTGTTGTCCCCGGAGCCAGGCGCTGAGCAGGGGTCCCAAGTGCTGCTCTTGCAAGCAGCAATGCCCTCCTATCCAGGGGTGGGCTGGGAGACGAGGGACCTCTCACCTGCTCCTTGCTCATCTCCTTCGGGGACAAGACATCCACCACCGCCGGAGCTTTGCTCACTTTCACTTTTTTCCCCACTTTCTTCTTGGGTGCCTAAGGAAAGAAAGCAAAGCACAGGTGTGTGCGCACGTGGCTCGGGAAGACAAGACATCCACCACCGCCGGAGCTTTGCTCACTTTCACTTTTTTCCCCACTTTCTTCTTGGGTGCCTAAGGAAAGAAAGCAAAGCACAGGTGTGTGCGCACGTGGCTCGGGAACCGGAAGGACGCTGCGCCGCTCAGAGCTCCTGCGCTGGCCCAGGCCACAAAGCCCACCTGCGCTCATGGCGGGGACAGGACGAGGAGGGGGACGGGGAACCACTGGTGCAGGCGGGGTCCCCGGGAGGAGCCGGGAAGCCTCCGAGACCCTGCAGGACACCCACGGCTCATGCCCAGCCGCGGCTCAGGCCCGCCCTGAAGCCCCCCGGGACG